GTCCATGGTATTCTCAATACTCTTCTCCAGCACCACAGCTCAAAGGCATCAATTCTCCTTCTGTCCTCCTTGGTCATTGTCCAACTCTCTGATGCATAAGAAGTGATTGCGAAGACCATGGCCTGTATCAGACGCACAACACCTAAAACATACAGTGTTCACAGAAAGGTTCAAAGCCCCGCCGGCCTTATGCCGAGATGCCGCGTGGAGCGTCCACAGAGAGAGCTCGGGGACGCCATTCCACTGCCTCCTTAACAGCTTGCTGCCAAAAGTGCTCAATGCTCGTTTCACTTTCTTTATCTTTTGTTTCGTTATATATCATTTTTTTTTTAAAAAAATAAAATCTCCTTCTTCTGTTAGAGAAACAGATACTAATGCAGGTCTTTTGTGAAAGCTAAGTAGCATAAAATCAACTTTTGAAAGGAAAGTTGTTGTAGATGTCTTCGAATCGGAACCGACCCGTAGCTGCTGCACCAGCGAGTTTGCAGAGACAGTAGATACTGTATTCTACTCTGCAGAGGGACTGCTTTGATCCAGCACCTGTTGGACAGTTGAGTTTAATCTGTTGTGACTTGTGCTGCAGTGAATACTGGTGTAAAAAACTTTCAGTTCCTTTGGCTACAGACCTCTGAGCAGCATTGGTGGGACAGACCTCTGAGCAGAATTGCTGGGTTGTGGAGGGACTAAGTTGGGGTGTGGGTGTCAGGAGCAGGGAGAGAAGACCAGGGAGGTGCCACGGAGCCTTGGGTGGGAGGTAGTGGTGCTTCTGTATGAGGGTCTAAGTGGGTCTCAGCTGTGCTGATGAAGAGTCATTCCCAGGGCAGGAGCATGGGGCTATCAGGACAGCTGAGCTCTTGGGGGGACCTTGGGGCCTGGCTGCTGAGCCTGAGGTGCTGAGGACCCAGACAGAGCTGGGAGTCAGCTCTGCAGGGTGGGCAGAAGTGCCCAGAAAGAACAACCCCTGAGGCTGCAGGTCCATGTGGCTAAGGAGGGGAGGACGAGGTACAAGACAGCTGTGTGGGGTGATCCTGCCTTGAGCTGGAGAATCAGCATCCCCACAAAGGTGCAGGGCCCTGGGATGGGTAAGTGAGTGAGGGGTGTGTGAGGGTGTGTGTATTCAGGAGATGAAGGAGACAGAGGGGGGATTCCCACTGCAGCAGCACCGTAAGCGCTCAGGGTGCTTGGCCTTCCTTGCAAGTCAGTGATTCTCAGGGAGAAAGGGAGGGTGGTCTAGGAGGACAGGATCTGAGCTGCCTGGGGGAGAGTGTGGGAAGTGGGGAGCCAGGCTGGCATTGAAAATAGGAAATAGGTGACTAAGACACATTGAGGGCTCAGGGATCCTCTGAGAGCACCAAGTTAAGGAGACCCCCTGAAAACCCACGGACTCAATTCTTGTTTCAAAGCAGGTTCAATAACTAGAGCAAACAAACCAGGTACAGAAAGTTGGCCCTGCCCCTGGGTGGGACAAGCAGTGGTCCTATGACCTAGACATGAAAGTGATAGCTACTGGTGTGTGTGTGTGTGTGTGTGTGTGTGTGTGTGTGTGTTTGTGTTTGTCTATCTCCTGGGGTCTCGTTCTCTCTGCTCAGTTCATCCATCAATCTAAAGCTGTGGGAATAGGTAAAATCTGTTGATAGAAAAATAACAAAGAATAGGACCCAGAGAAGGGGCGCTCCCTGGGAAGTGTTGGGGCGCCTTAGGGCCCTGATGGCCCGCTTGGTTTTCCACAGACTGGAAGCCAGGCATGTCCGTGCCGTGGGACATCTCGGCAGCCTACCTCCTGCAGGGCAGCTTCTACGGCCATTCCATCTATGCCACGCTCTACATGGACTCCTGGCGCAAGGACTCGGTGGTCATGCTCATCCACCACATGGTCACCCTGGTCCTCATCGTCTCCTCCTATGCCTTCAGGTGACCACAGGGCTGGGATGGGACTGTAGGGGAGGAGAGTCCATGGGGGATGGTCACATTCAGGGGTCCTGGGAGGGGAGATGCTGGAGGCCTACTGAGGCCAGGATGGGGCTAAGGAGGCACACGGAACTCCCAGCCTGCCTCACCCCAGCATCTGTTTCTCTTCAGATCCCTACCTCGGGCTGGGGTGTAGCAAAGACCACCCCATAGGAACCCTGGTGTTTTTGGGCTAGCGCGGTCACCATGGACCACTCATGGTCTAAGCAACTGAACCTTGCCTGAGTGCAGTGAACTCCAAGGTCATTTCCACAGACACATCAGGCCAAATGTCCTCTGGCCCCATCATTTGTCATACTGATTATAGACAGAGGTGACAGTACACCCACCCCCCAGCTGTAGAGTGAATTCTGGCTCGTGCCAGCCCCGTCATCAGGTTTCTAAGGTTGAGAATCTTCACAGGAAGACCGTCCATTTTCCTCCTGAATGGTAACTGGTGGATTCAAACTGCTGACCCTCTGGTTAGCAACCCACCACGTAACCTGCTTTTCCACCAGGGTCCTTGAGAGGATGATCTTGTTTCATTGCCGCCCAGTCGGACCCACACATAGCTGACCCTCCACTGGCTGTAAATCACACGGAGGAGATTGCCTGTCTGCCCTGCAGAGCTGCTGCTGCTGGATTTGAACCACCAGAGAGGCTTGGTGTTTGGCTTAGCCATGCATCTTCCTGCCACCTGAGCGCCCTGAAATGAGCTAGATGTAAAAAGAATTTTACTTCCTTAATTTCTGAGTGCTGCTGTGGCAGGAATATCACAAGTGGGTGATTTTAAAGGACAGAAATGCATATTCTCCCAGTCAAGAGGCTGGGCCTCTGAACCTGGCAACCTCAGGGAAGATGCCTGTCTGCCTGCCACTGCTCTCCAGGGTTCTTTGGCATTTGTCTCTGCTCCCTTTGTCCTTGCTTATCTCTGCCTAATCTGGTTTGATAGCTCAGAAATTAGGAGGCTTAAGACACACCCAGTGTTCATCCCGCCTTAATAACATACAAAGAAGGCTCTGTCCCCAGAGTTAGTTCCTGTTGAGACCAGAGTTATAAGGATGAGAAACTGATTCATAGCTGAACCTCCAGTCGGTTTTCAGAAGCTCAATCTCAGGGATGGAGAGTGCCCATCTTTTTCCTATAGAGTACCCGGTGGATTTGAACCATGAGTCATTGGGTTGCCAGCCTAGCACCTTATCCACTATACTACCAGAACTTACATATATTTTTGTTGTTGTTGTTATGTGACCCTATTACAGCACCTTTGAACCCTTGTGTATTCTGTGCCAAACTTACTGTCTTTGACACACCCCATTACCTCAGTCACTAAATCAATCCATCTTATCAAAGGTGTTCCTCTCTTGAGCTGTCCCTCCACCCTCCCAAGCATGATGTCCCACTCCATGGACTGGTCCCTCCATACAGTATGCCCAAAGTATGTCAGACGAAGCCTCAGAATCCTTGCCTCCAAGGAGCAGCCTGGTTTTACCCTCTCTAGGACAAACTTGTTTGTTTTCCTAGCCGTCCATGGTACGGTCAGTATTCTTCTCCAGCACCACAGCTCAAAAGCATCAAATACTCCTTCTGTCATTTTTAGGAGAATATAATTTAGTTCATTACACCTGTGTCTTTTCAGTTTTTTTCCTTCCATGTAGCTAAAAGGGGGGGGGGAAACCCCTTCTAAAATGACAGCTGCTGCTCAGATCTATATTCGGTGGACAGACTGCTCCAGCCACGCCCCAGGGGCTGTTTAAACTTCCATCATTTGTTAATCATTCAAAGGAGCCACATTTCAAGTGTTCATCAGCCACACATGGCAGGTGCTCCTTTATTGCACGATTTTGTAGGTACAAAACGTCTCCATCATTCTAGAAAGTTCTACAGGATAATGCTACTCTTCAGGGTGGTCACATGATCAAGTCAGAATTTTTTTTAAAAAAAGACCTTCGGTCGCCTTCAAACAGTTTATTTGAAGGTGCTGAGAACTAGAGGAAGAAATCAAGTCAGAGAGTGGCTTGTCATTAGGGGGTGGTACTGTGGGTTTAGATATGGGGAGTCAGGAGGTGTCTGTGTGACAGGTTAACTGAGGCTGAAAGGAAATGTAGAACGGTATCAGTGCCACCAGTGTTGGGGACAGCCTGAGGAAAGGTTGTGGGGCAGGAGCTTGGGAGGTACTGGGAGGGAGGGAGGGCTGAGGGCTGAGATATGGGGAGAAGAAGCATTGCTTATTTAGGGGCTGAGTCCTAGCTTGTTAGCCAGGCAGCTAGCAGAGCCCTAGAGGTAGCCTTTGCTAGGCCAGCGGCAGGTAGCAAGGACCTGTAGGCATCAAGGCGGCACTTAGTGGCGTCATCTTGTGGTGTTCAAAATGAACAGTGTATTCTTGGTGAGATCTGGAAAAGGTCACACAGAATGGACCCAAGCGGGCCGGTGAGGTGGGAGGGCACGCAGGGCTTGGGTGGGTAGGGAGATCTGGGGTTCCTGGCGCCAGGTGTGAGCCACCCACCTCCACCCCCAGGTACCACAACGTAGGAGTCCTTGTGTTATTTCTGCATGACATCAATGATGTGCAGCTCGAATTCACCAAGCTCAATGTCTACTTCAAATTCCGGGGCGGCACCTACTATCGCCTGCACTCGCTGGCCTCCAACCTGGGCTGTGTCAGCTTCAGTGTCAGCTGGTGAGGGGGCGGGGCGAGGGAGGAGGGGCGGGGACAGAGAGAAAGACGGGGGTGCGTGTGGGCAAGGATCCACAGGGACAGGACATCACTGGGTAAGAAGGATGGGACTGGGCCCGTGGGGATGGACAGAACAATGGGGACAGAGAAAGGGAAGGTGCAGGTGGGGTCATGAGAAGGTGCATGTCAGGGACAGGTGGAGCTCTTCTTACAGCTCCCAGTCACCCTGCCCTCCTGCTGCCCCCCAGGTTCTGGTTCCGGCTCTACTGGTTCCCACTCAAGGTCCTGTATGCCACGTGGCACTGCAGCTTGCGCTCAGTCCCTGACATCCCCTTCTACTTCTTCTTCAACGCGCTGCTGCTGGCGCTGACTCTCATGAACCTCTACTGGTTCCTGGTGAGTCCTTTCTTCTTCCTCCTTCTCCCGCCCTCTTCCTCCTCCTCTGTGCCCTCCGCCCCTTTTCTTCCTCTCCTTCTCCTGGGGAGCCTCGCCCACCCACGGCCTCACCCCCCTCTCCTCCGCAGTACATCGTGGCCTTCGCTGTTAAGATGTTGACGGGCCAGATGCCTGAGCTGAGGGACGTGCGGGACTACGACTCTGTGGCGGAGACCCCCAGGCCCAAGCCCAGCAAAGACGAGTGAGTGTGCGCCCTGCCAGCCTCGGGTATGACTCAGCGGAACACCAGGGCACACACAGGCTGGCCCCAGATGTGGACCAGGCAGACAGATGGACACTGTCTCAGGCCACAGGCACAGCAAGCCTGCAGTAAAGGCGTGGATAAACGGCTGCCAGAGTTAATGCTGCTGAGGACAGACACAAGGAGGGGCTGGCGAGATGGAGGACTGAGTGGCACTGTGTGGGCAGAAGCTGAGTCTAGGCTGCCGCCCGGGCTATGGATGTGGCAGGGTGGGAGGCCAGGGGTGGAGGGCAGGGATGGAGGGGAGGCCCTGGGGGAACCTGAGTCCTTAGGAAGAGCCATGTTGCAATAGGCAGTAGGGGTACAGGGTGAGGAGAGAGGATACCAGGGTCTACCATCCACCCACTCCTCACTCCTTACCCTCTACCCACTTTGAGGTGCTTAGACTTAAGATTCTAGAAAGAGTAGGGTGAAGGTTTTGAGCTTCTGGGGGGGGAGCAGAGAACCAGAGCCCTAGAGAAACATTTGTGGTGAACCAAGGGTGTCAGAAGCCCCCACCCAGGAGGACAGAGGTGGCGAGCTATATCAGGGAAATTTCCTAAGGTTGAGAGTGTTTTATAAGATGCAGTGTTGCGGGGGGCTGGACTCTCTGGTGGGGCGGGGGTTCTTGAGGACCTGGGCCAGGTGGTTTGAGGGAAGCTGTATGGGTCCAGGCACCATTAGGAGTTCCAGAACAAATTTTTGGAGTTGAGTTTGTTTTGTTTTGTTTTTTAATGGTTTGGGGTTTTTTGGGGGGGGGGGGGGGATTTTTTTTTTTAAAAAAAAGAACCTTTGAGATCAGAGGGCAGAGGGGTTGGGGGTGCTTGAGCCCCACTTGAAAACTCTTTAAGTATCTTGCACCATTAAGCTTGGGCTGACGTTGTGCAGGTGAGCAGAGGCTGAAAGCGCCCCCTTGGCCTGGAGTGGGGCTGGGTCCAGCACGGCCCCCCTGCTGAGGGGACACCTGGCCAGCTTGGGGACCACGACTGACTGATGTCCATGTGGCGCGAGCCGGCAGCTGGAGCCGGGAAGGAGTGAGGCCACGCTGCGCCCTCCATCAGCAGTGAGACAAGTCAGCCTTGTGTGGATGTTGAAATGGAAATCAGAGACTCAAACGACGGCTCCAAATTTAGGGCTCCAGCTGCTGCTTGTACAGTGGGTGCTGGGCAGAACCCAGCGTGGTGGAGGGGAAGTCAGGAGACACTTGGAATGTGAGCCAGGAATTCTGTGTGGGGGCCCGACATCTCCCGAGGCTTCCAGAGGCCGCTTTGTGGAAACTGAAGAATCCCCGTGAGAGGGCTGGGCAGTGATGTGGCGTGGTACCCGTGGCTAGGGTCAGCTCCAACCCCAGGTGCTCCTGGCTAGGACTGTGTAGAGCAGCACTCCATAGGGCTTTCTGAGGCTGTTCAGAAGTCGATCACCAGGCCTTTCTTCCGAGCTACCTAGTAAGTGGCCGCAAACCTCCAGCAGATACCACCCAGGGACTCCGACAGCATTGTGGAGGCGTGTGTTCCAAGGCAGAGCTCCTGGCCCATGAAAGCCTGGCCTGCCTACCCTGCCCCTGCTCTGACGATGCCTTGAGGAACATGGGGGGCTTGGCAGTGTTCCCACTAGAATCACAAGGCCAACATCCCACTCAGCTGCCGTGTCACCTCCATAAGAACCAGCAGTGGATTCCGATTCTCTGTGGAGTTCAGCGGTCAGCGTCATCACACGGCCGTTAGCAGGAGTTGAGTCACCACCTCCAGCTCCTGGGAGCCCCGTGCACGGGCCCAGCTGTGCGCCATCCCATGGCCAGCGGTGGGTCAGGACACGGTGTTTCACCATGTGATTTGTCTGCTGGGCTTTGGAAGTAGATCACACCACCAGGCCTTTCTTCCTACTCCACCTTAGAAATGATGGAAGTCCGTTCAGTGTCAGAGCAATAGCCAAGCCTCCACTGACCGGCGAGTGTTGTCTGCACTGGCCGGGAATCCAACCCAGGCCTCCGACATAGAAGGCGAGAATTCTGCCCCTGACCCTCCACTGCTGCAGGGCTACCATAAAACAATAAAATAAAAAATAAACCACGCCAGTCAGGTTGGTTCCAGTTCATCGTGACCCTCCGGTGGGTTTCCGAGGCTGTAAATCTTTCCAGGAGATGATCCTGTCTTCCTTCTGTGGAGCAGCCGGCAGATGTGCACTGCTGACCTCTCGGGTAACGGCACAATACACTCCACCCTGCCTCACCAGGGATCCTTTGGTTATCTTAGCTCAGCTCAGAGTAGGTGAATGTGAAGAAGGAGGGATAAGAGGGGCAGAGATTGAAGGCTAGTCCGCGGGACCCTTGGCCAGTCCTCACGACAGCCAAGGTCATGAGCGATGAGGAGGGACTGAGAAATGTCACAGACAGGAGGGATAGGAGGTGTCGTGTTAATGCAGGGTGAAGTCTTGTCACAGAAAAGGGACATTTATAACCAGTCTGTTTAAATCCAAATAAAGTCTCATGGTTAGTGACTAGCATTGTCATGAAATCGGTTTCTTAGCTGTGGCGGACACACCGTGAAAGCCCAAGATGTTGACGTTAGGGGATGCTGGGCAAAGAGTAGACCAGAACAAATGCTAAGTACTGTCTTTGCAGCGTTTCTAGAGGTGAAATGGATATGAAATAAGTGTATTAAAAATAATCCAAACCAAGAAGGAGTGGGAGATAACAAAAATTATGCCCAGGGCTGCTGTAACAAATCACTGCAGACTTGCTGACATAAATGTTAGAGAGGTGTTGTCACAGTCCTGGAGGCCGGAAGTCTGAGAAGGTGCACACACGGCCCGTGCTCCCTCCACAGGCTCTGTGGGAAGATCCTTCCTGCCTCTCCCCACTGCTAGCGGCTCTGGAGGTGCCGTGCTGCCGAGACTACGTGTCTCCAGTCTCTGCCTCCATTAGCACACGGCCCTCCTCCTGGTGTCTGGGTTGTCTCTGTCTCTTTAAAGGACGGACACCTGTCTTTCCATTTAGGGCCCACACAGATAATGCAGGATGATCTTACTTTAAGATTGCCTTCCTTCATTCACACCTGCAAACACCTTCTTATTTCCAAATAAGGTTGCATCACAGGTTTCAGGGATTAGGGCACACACAGACATATCTTTTGGGGGGGTCACCATCCAACCCATTGCTTTGGGCATATTTTCAGGAAGGACTAGTCCTTAGAGATACACACCATGCTGGGAAGGCAGAGGGTAGTGGGAAGAGAAGTAGGCTCTCCAAGAGATTATTAATTGACACAGTGACCGCCACAATGGGCTTGAGCATGACTGAGGTTGTGCGGATGGGACGGGACAGGACAAGGTTCATCAGGTCACTACTATGAGTTGTAGTCAGCTTACAACCACCCATGATAGATGTTAACGTTTCAAAGATACAGCTGAAGAGAGCATCAATAGATTAGAAGTTTTCAAAGAAACTACTACCCAGAATTCAGCATAAATTGGTGGAAACATATGCAAACTCGACTTAAAAGAATGGCCTCATCTTTCATTACCATCCAGTCAGAGTCAAATCATAGCTAATCCTCCAGCGAGTTTTCAGAGACTGTGTAAATGGTATGAGATCTTTCTCTTGAGGTACAGCTGGTGAACTTGAACTGCCTGCCTTGGTTGGCAGCACGATTCCTTACTCCCCAGGTCACCAGAGCTCCATTCTTAACCTAGCCTGGTTAGATACCATCGAATTGAGTATGGCTCCTAGCAACCCTATGAACAACAGATCTGAACCTTGTCCTGTCCTGGCCATATTCATTTCTTTTTTTTATTTTTTAAGAAAAGTAAAAGAAAAATTCTTTCATTGTTACACAATCCCTCCCCCCAAGTCCACTCCACTATGCAGCCTTCATTCTGGACTCCTGTCATGACAATAATACCTAATCATAGAGCAACAGTGTCTCTCTGGAGACTAAGGTGTGCCTGATACAGGCCATGGTCTTTGCAATCACTTGTTATGCATCAGAGAGTTAATGACTAGGGAGGATAGAAGGAGAATTGATGCCTTTGAGCTGTGGTGCTGGAGAAGAGTATTGAATGTACCATGGACTGCCAAGAAAACAAACGGATTCATCCTGGAGAGGGATAAACCAGGCTACTTCTTGGAGGCAAGGATTCTGGGGCTTCGTCTGACATACTGTGGACATGTAAGGAGGGACAGGTCCTTGGAGAGGGACATCATGCGTGGGAGGGTGGAGGGACAGCACAGGAGGGGAAGGCCCTCTACGAGGTGGATTGATTCAGTGACTGGGGTAATCGGGATGGGTGTGTCAGAGGCAGTGCGATTGGCACAGGATAGAGCAGGGTTTAGGGCCGTTGTACATAGGGTTGCTATGAGTCGCAAATAACTCGATGGCACATAACAACAACATATCCCTTTTAGACAGTTCTCTCCCTCATCTGTTTCAATGCAGTATACATAATTTATCCTATCTTTCTCAGTCTCACCCCAACCCCGATGTCAGTCCTGTTTTACAACAGTGGCACTATGCAGTATTTGTCCTTTTGTGACTGACATAAGTTTCCGGAGGCAAGCCATTTCGGAAGTGGATGCCGCTCCTGCTTCCAGGCTTCCTCAGTGGTTGCACCATTTTACACTCCCACCAACAGTGAATAAGGGTTCCAGTTTCTCCGCAACCTCACCAGCATTTGTTGTTTGCTTTTCTGTTGAATTTTGCTGTCCTGACTGGACATCCTCCTTTCTGACATACTCAAGCCCACAGTAGCAGTTACTGTGTCAGTGCATCTGGTCGAGGGTCTTCCTCTTTATCACAGGCCCTCCACCTTGTCAAGCACGATGTCCCTGTCCAAGAAATAACCTCTCTTAACAACATGCCCAAAGTATGTGAAGTGAAGCTTTGTCATCTTTGTTTCCAAAAAGCATTCTGGCCATACTTTCTCCAAGACATACTTGCTCTCATGGCCGTCCATGAACTAATCAGTACT